AGTTCAAGGAGAGAGAAGGGGAGGACTTTTCTCATGTTAAGGAGAGACTGTGGGGAGTCATCAAGTATGTCAATGCCCTGAAGCACAAATGGTTGAGCGCGTCGTCACCACAGCAGAAGCCTGCTTGGATTTCCTTCCTCAAGTCCAAGGGGTCGAGACAGAGGACTGCACATGCCTCTATGCTTCCGCGCATTGCCATCGACCTTGCAAGTGATGCTAAGACAGAAGAAGGCACCCCAAAATGTCCGGATGCGATCCTGCCTGAGAGCTACGATGTTGACTGGGCAGCGGGGACTACATGGAAGGCACAATGGAAACTTGGGAGCTCCAGTCATCGTCAGCCAAGGGGAGATGAAATCAAAGCGATGCCGGGTGGTTGGGTTGACATTGCAGCGCTGTGCCAAGCAACCGGGGCGAGCACCTCCGAGGTCGTGTCGACTTTGGAGCGTGAGCTGAATCTGTGAGAACCCCGGGAGAGTTTCACTGGTTGTGATCCTGAAGGGATTGTGAGCACCAAAGCGAGGTCGGGTCGAATGAGTGCAAAACACGTTCGTCTGGTCTCGGCAAGCTGGAATTTGGGAGGACAACCTTTGGAGAAAGTGAATAACGCTTGTCCTGAGGGAGACCTTTTCTTTGTGCAAGAAGTGGCGAGAAGAACCCCGGGTTGGCAAACTCATGGTGATGATGAGCGCTGCGTGTGGATCTCCTTTCAACATCCTGATCAATGGAGAGGGACGGCAATTGGCATTGCGAGTGACATCTTTGACTCCGTGGTGGAACGCCGATCTAGCAGAAGAGGGTGTGCCATTGTCGTCCGACTCCGAAACTTTGGTCGTGTTGTCCTTGCGTCGATTCATGCTCCGACTGGCGTTAGCAATGACATCTACAGTGCTGCTCTTGACGAAGCGGGCAAGATGCTTGGTGACAAATGGAGACATCTCCCCTGTATGCTTGGCATTGACGTTAATGAAGAAATCCACTGGAGGGAAGATGAGGATGCGAGCATGGGGGCTGATGTCTGTGTTGGAAACTCCAACTTCCAGGCCATGACCGACAGCTTGTTACACCAAGGTCTCAGACCAGTCCCTCCTTGTCATGAGCAATGGCAACAACCTACACACTTCCCGCGTGATAACACTCGACAAGGGCGACAAATCGATTTGCTGCTGGTTAGGCAGATCAACATTGAACCCACACAGATTGATGCTGAGAGACGACACGCAATTGGCACGGATCATGCCTTGCTGAAGAACGTCATCTCTCTGCGCTGTCGTGCAAACAAGGTCTGGAGCCCGGATTCTCGACCTCGCTGGCTTTGCTGTGAACTTCCTCATGATGAAGTCCTCGTTGATTGGGATGACATCCGAAAGCTTGCCAAGTCCCACACAAAGCCTCGCGCTTCCGAAAAGTACAAGGACGACCAATCAACCATCGAAGCCTTTCGAGTTGCAAAGAATACCATGCAGCCTGACGACTGGAAACGAGCACACAAATTGAGGCGCCGAACCAGACGTCTGTGGTGTGCCTCCCGTCGCGAGCGCATTCTGCGGGGCGACTGGTTTGCGTACCGTGATCACAAGAGAGACAAAAATCGCCGACCTGGTTGGTGGGGGAGACTTCTTGAGCAGCGGACGTCACAAGAAATTACTGAAGAAGTCCAAAAGCACCTTGAGGAGAAGTTGAAAGGACCCTCATCAGCAGAGTGGGATGAAAAACTACGTGGCTTCCTCGGCGATTTACCAGATGACGGTGGATGGCGACCTTTCAGCTGGGAAGATGTGGGAGCGGCTTTGTCGGAAATGCGGGCGAATTCGTCTGTCAGCGAAGATGGGGTCGGGGTTGATCTTCTTCGCCATGTTCATCAACATGATCAACTTGGCAATCAGCTGGTCGACTTGATCAACGACACGGTGAAGGCGACGCTTTGCCCAACTGACTGGGACACCAGTCTCCTGGCCCTGTTGGCCAAGGTTGATGTTCCCATGCGACCCAAGGACTTACGTCCGATCAGCATGAGTTCCACTGCTCAGAAGTGCATCAACAAACTGGTCATGGGGCGTGTTTTTCCTTGTCTTCGACGCCCCAGCTGCGCTTCTTGCTGTGGTCGCACGAGGCAATCTGCTGATCTCATCGGTAGTATCACACGCTTGCGCGACACCACGCGTGAATGGAAGCTCCCCACTGTCTGTGCTAAACTGGACGTTAAAGGTGCATTTGATCGAGTTCGGCGAGATGCTGCAGCCCGCCTCCTCATCGATCGAAC